ACGACGCGACCCCCAGGAGGTCCGGGCCCATTCCCCGGGACCGGTTTCTCGTTCTGAGTCGTGTCTTGATGGTCCCGAAGCCCGGTAAGGGCCCCCGAGAGGCCGAACATGGCGAAAAACCTCCCGTCGTGTTTCTTTCGCAACGCGAGGGGGTCTGGGCTCGCCGCGCCAGCGCGGCTTCTCGCCGCCAGGCGGCTAATTGCCACTGCTGGCTTCCGGCCGGGCGGCCGCGGAGCCGGGGCCGGGGCAGCCAGCCCTTCGGTCCTCCCCGCCCGCCCGGTGGGCCACTGCACCATCGAGGGGGGTGGCGAGGGCATGCAGCCACGCTTCCCCTCTCCCTCGCGGCCCCCTCCCGGGAAGAGGGAACGCAGAGAGAGGCAGGAGGCGGGGGCTTCGCTCTGCGCACCCTTGCCCCCCGAGCCTGGAGAAACCAGGAGACCCCTGCGGCACATGCCACCGATGCGACATCGACACGCCCACGCCTCGTCGCCTCCCTCGAACGTCGCCTTCCGCAAGACCCGCGTGCTCTCTTGTCGCCCGGGCACCTCCGGCTCCTCCGGCCCTCCCACGCCTCAAGCAGACTCCGATCGATGCGCTGTTCTCTCATCCCTGCCACGCCACGAACTAGACAGGTCTGTCGCTCCACCTTGCTCGCTGTGGTTCCTCCTGACGAGGCGTCGTCCCAGAGATCCGACGTCGTGATTTGTTCAGTACGCGGTCCCCGGAAGCCTCGATCCATTCCCCAGGACCGGTTCTTCATCCCGAGTCGTTCTTTGACGGTCCCGAGGCCCGGCGAGGACCCCTATAGGGGCCGAAAGTGCGCAAAAAACAAAAACAAAAAAAAAAAAAAAAAACGTCGTGATTGTTGTTCCATACGCTGGAACTCCAGGGTCGACGCAGGACCGCCGAGCTCGAGAGCATCGTGCTTGCTTGGGATGCTCCTCTCCGGGGTCGGGGATCGTCTGACCAGGGTCTATCCAGACCCGGGCCAGTCAGGCCTTGCAGGACCCTGCAAGATCCTGCACCCAAACCGGGGCCAGCGCGAAGGATCCTGCAAGACCCTGCGCCCAAGCCCGGGTCAATGCGACCCTGGCCCTGCAGGATCCTGCAAGATCGGGCGCTCTTAGGGGGCCCCCACGATTTCTGAGGGGGAGGCTGGGGTTCGCCTCGCTCGGGAGCTCCCGCACGAGGTGAACCCCGCCCTCCCCCTCAGAAATCGTGGGGGGTGGGGGTAGGGTTCGCGTCAAGCTAGCCAGCTCGAGCGAGTCAAGCATGGCATGCCCATTCCCACCCGCCCTCCCAACAACATAAGAAACAGTGATGGCACGACTGGGGGTTGCGCGGGCATTTCAGTGCGAGTGGAGGATACCCCAGGACACCGCATTGACGTCCGCGCGGGATGCGCGCCGCGTCCCATTCCCGCCTCGAATTTCGCAACGTCGACGACAAGACTGGCCATGTTGAAAGGAACAACGGACACGTTCCGCCCTCCCACAACATAAGAAGCAATGCTGGCGCAACTGGGTGCTGGCGCGTAGTGGTAGTAGTAGTAGTAGTAGTAGTAGTAGTAGTAGTAGTAGTAGTAGTAGTAGTAGTAGTAGTAGTAGTAGTCGTAGTCGTAGTCGTAGTAGTAGTAGTCGTAGTCGTAGTAGTAGTAGCAGTAGCAGTAGTAGTAGTAGTAGTAGTAGTAGTAGTAGTAGTAGTAGTAGTAGTATAGTAGTAGTAGTAGTAGTAGTAGTAGTAGTAGTAGTAGTAGTAGTAGTAGTAGTAGTTAGTAGTAGTAGTAGTAGTAGTAGTAGTAGTAGTAGTAGTAGTAGTAGTAGTAGTAGTAGTAGTAGTAGTAGTAGTAGTAGTAGTAGTAGTAGTAGTAGTATAGTAGTAGTAGTAGTAGTAGTAGTAGTAGTAGTCGTAGTAGTAGTAGTAGTAGTAGTAGTAGTAGTGGTAGTAGTAGTAGTCGTAGTAGTAGTGCTAGTACTAGTAGTAGTAGTAGTAGTAGTAGTAGTAGTAGTAGTAGTAGTAGTAGTAGTAGTAGTAGTAGTAGTAGTAGTAGTAGTAATAGTAGTATTAGTAGTAATAGTAGTAGTAGTAGTAGTAGTAGTAGTAGTAGTAGTAGTAGTAGTAGTAGTAGTAGTAGTAGTGGTAGTAGTAGTAGTAGCAGTAGCAGTAGTAGTAGTAGTAGTAGTAGTAGTAATAGTAGTAGTAGTAGTAAAGAAGTAGTAGTAGTAGCAGTAGTAGTAGTAGTAGTAGTAGTCGTCGTCGTCGTAAATAGGAGTAGTAGTAGTAGTAGTAGTAGTAGTAGTAGAAGTAGTAGTAGTAGTAGTAGTAGTAGTAGTAGTGGTCGTAGTAGTAATCATAGTAGTAGTAGTAGTAGTAGTAGTAGTAGTAGTAGTAATAGTAGTAGTAGTAGTAGTAATAGTAGTCGTAGTAGTAGTAGTAGTAGTAGTGGTAGTAGTAGTAGTAGTAGTAGTAGTAGTAGTAGTAGTAGTAGTAGTAGTAATAGTAGTAGTAGCCCTGAGTCGCCGAAAGATCGTTCCAAGACACCCAAGATGCCCTCCAGACGGCCGTAGCGCCAAGAAACCGCGGGGAGACTCAGGAGGCCCTCCAAGAGCCTGAACAAGCAAAAACCCCCCAGGCATTCGTCACCCCAGGGCCTCCTGGAACGCCCCGGCGCCCAATCAATTGGCCAGCTAAAAACGTGCGCCGAGCCAAAGCGGGAGCGCAACTTTGAGAAAATGTCGCTCGGCGCCCAAGCGAGATGGTCATTTCATTCACTTCGAGCGGGGGGGGGGGGCCGCGCCCAATTCTTGCCATGCACTTTTGCGGGGTGGACGACAAGCACAGCTATGTGGGCAAGCGAAAATCAGCATGGCATTGCTTCTGACAAGTAAGGTGGCCCCTCCCGCCTTGGGGTTGCCCCAGAAGTCCGCGCGCGATGCGCGCCGCGCCCCATTCCTGCCACGCATTTCGCATCGTCGACGACAAGACAGGCCATGATGAAAGGAAAAACGGCAACTCTGTATTGCTTTTTACAGTCAGGATGGGAGGGCCCGCAGCCCGCATGGACGTCCGCGCGCGATGCGCGCCGCGTCCCATTCCTGCTACATATTTCGCACCGTCGGCGACAAGGCAGGCCATGCTGAGAGGAAAAAACGGAGACTTTGTATTGATTGTTTACAGTCAGGATGGGCGGGCCCGGATCAACGGCCGCGCGCGATGTGCGCCGCGTCCCATATGTGCGCCGCGTCCCACTGTTGCCACATATTTCGCACCGTCGGCGACAAGGCAGGCCATGCTGAGATGAAACAACGAAGACTTTGTATTGATTTTTAACACTCAGGATGGGCGGGCCCAGATTGACTGCCGCGCGCGATGTGCGCCGCGTCCCATTCCTGCCACGCTTTTCGCATCGTCGACGACAAGAAAGACGATGTTGAGAAGAAAAAAGGCCACTTTGTATTGATTTTATATCCCGGATTGGGCCGCTATCGGCCGGAATACGAGGTAGTTGGGGGTATATTTTAATAAGGAACAAGGATGTGGCCCCCTAGCTCTGGCTGACCCCCGTTTGCATCGACCCCCGTCTCAAGGCTCCTGACGGGGGAAGGAGAAGAGGCCACCGGCCCTGCGCCGGGCCACGGCCCTGGCCCCGGGCCCTGCACCCAAAACCTCCCTGGCGGCCCGCCCCTCTGGCCCGCGCCACTGCTCCTCCTGTCGGGGGCGCACAAACCCAGACCTCCGACGTCGCGATTGTTTCACAACGTCGATCCCCAGAGGTCTGGACCCCTTCCCCGGGGCCGGGCTTCCATTCTGAGTCGTCATTTGACGGCCCCGAGGCCCGGTGATGGCTACCGGAGGCCGAAAATAACGAAAAGCCTCCAGTCGCGATTTTTTCTCAACGCCAGGAGGTCTGGGAACATGGACCCTGAGATCCGGGAGTTGCAATTTTCTCACAAAGGGCTTTTTCGCTCAGTTTCGGGCCACGGGACCCTCACATATCGATCCGGCTCGGAAAATGACGCAGAAAGATGGGGTCCGGGGCTCTGGGCGTGATCTTTTGCGCTGTTGCAATTTATGCTGCAACGTCGGATCTCAGGGGATTACCAATCCATGGATTTGACGCGCGGTCACCTCCCCAGAATGCGGCCGGTGCCGCCTCCTTCGGCGGCGGAAGTCCGCGACTTCCCACGGAAACGGGACCCGTCGCTAACCCACGCCCCCTTGATCCATGTTTGCGATCGCCTGGTCCTGGCCCTGGAGCCTGCACTCACCCACCCAACCCCCACCCACGAAAACTAAAAAATTCTCCGAACATGCTCCCAACAAAAACAAACAGTAGAATCAAGAAATCGTCCCAAGACTATTCTTGACGAAAACTAGAAAATTATCCGAACATGCTCCCAAAAAACAAACAGTAGAATCAAGAAATCGTCCCAAGACTATTTTTTGACGAAAACTAGAAAATACTCCGAAAATGCTCCCAAAAAAACAAACAGTATAATCGAGAAATCGTCCCAAGCCTATGTTCTTGACGATTGCCGACTATTCGTCCTGTCGAGGGGCAGGCCCGACGCCCCCTCGTGCGCGGTCCAGGGAGCGCGTGACACGCGTTTGCACCACCAAGGAACATCCACATCCAGCGCGGCCGGCATCGGGAGACCGACCGACCGCCGATCGACGACCGACGACCGACGACCAACGACGCCGACGCCGACGCCGACACCGACGCCGACGCCGAAAACGCCGACGACGCCGACGACGCCGACGACGCCGACACCGACGCCGACGCCAACACCGACGCCGACGCCGAGGCCGACGCCGAGGCCGAGGCCGAGGCCGACGATGACGACGACGACGACGACGACGCCGCCGCCGCCGCCGCCGCCGCCGACGACGACGACGACGACGACGACGACGACGACGATGACGACACCGACGCCGCTGCCGATGCCGCGCCGCCGCCGCCGCCGACGTGCTGGCGCGCGCGGCCCCAGGCCGCGCACTGATGCTCAAAGGTGTGAATGCAGCGCCGCACGCGCAGGTCCCACAGCTTGGTTGTTCCGTCGTCTCCGCCTGGGCCACGCCGGGTCGCTCCGCCCTCGCTCGGCCTCTCGTTCCCTGCCTCACCCTCGTGCTCGGACTCTCGCCTGGCCTCCCGCTCGTCCTCTCGCTCCCTGCCTCGCCTGGCCCCCTGCCTTGCCACTGCCACGCGATCGGGCCAGCAGAGCCGTCGAGCACTCCTCCCCCATCTCTGGTCTCCCCCTCCAGCTCCTCCTCCGCATCCCTATCCCTCCTCCTCCTCCTCCTCCTCCTCCTCCTCCTCCTCCTCCTCCTCCTCCTCGTCCTTCTCTTCCTCATTGGCTCGTCCCCCTTGGTCCTGCTCATCCAGCATCAATCCTCCTCCTCCTCCTCCTCATCATCATCATCATCACCATCATCAACATCATCATCATAAGCATCATCATCATCATCACCACCATCATCAACACCATCATCAACATATCACCACCACCACCATCATCATGATAATCATCATCGTCAGCAGCAGCATCATATCACCAACAGCATCAGCATCGTTGTCGTCGGCATCATCATCATCATCATCATCATCATCATCAGCAGCATCATGAGCTTCCGCATCCGCATCCGCATCCTCATCCTCATTTTCACTCTTCATCCGCACCATCCACAGCAGCATCATCACTCTCGTCATCGTCATCGTCATCATCATCATCATCATCATCATCATCATCATCATCATCATCACCAGCATCATCCTCATCATCATCAGCAGCATCATCATCGTCATCGTCATCGTCGTCATTGTCATCGTCATCATCATGCTCATCATCATCATCATCATCATCATCATCATCATCATCATCATCATCATCATCATCATCATCATCATCATGATCATCATCCTCATTATCCTCCTTCTCCCCATCCTCATGATCCTCCTCATCATCATCAGCAGCATCATCGTCATCGCCAGCATCATCGCCACCACCACCACTACCACCGTCAGCCTCTTTATCAGCATCCGCATCACCATCGCCACTGTCAGCATCATCATCATCACCATCATCAGCATCATCATCATCAGCATCATCATCAGCAGCAGCATCTTCATCATCACCATCATCATCATCATCATCATCATCATCATCATCTTCACCATCTCCATCGTCAGCGACGGCGCCATCCGCATCATTAGCATCATCAGCAGAATCAGCATCACAAGCAGTTCATCAGCAGCATCATCATCCTCATCCTCATAATCATCATCATCAGCAGCATCATCATCGTCCTCATCATCAGCAGCATCATCATAAGCAAAATCAGCTTCACCACATCACCAACTACCACCACCAACATCATCATCATCATCCTCATCATCATCATGAGTATCATCATCATCATCATCATCATCATCATCATCAGTGTCAGCATCATCATCGTCATCATCACAATCGTCATCAACATCATCGACAGCATCATCATAATCATCAGCATCAGCATCAGCATCAGCATCAGCATCATCATCATCATCATCATCATCATCATCATCATCATCATCATCATGATCACCATCATCATCATCACCATCAGCATCGTCGTAATCATCATCAGCAGCAGCATCGTCCGCAGCATCATCCTCCTCATCACCATCGTCATCCAATCATCATCAAATCAGCATCATCATCATAATCATCATCATCATCATCATTGGCACCATCATCATCGCCACAAACATCACCACCATCATGATCAGTAGCAGCAGCATCAGCATCATCAGCATCATCAGAACCAACGCCACCATCATCATCAGCAGTATCACCATCACCATCAACATCATCATCATCATCATCATCATCATCATCATCATCATCATCATCATCATCATCTTCATCAGCTTCATCATCTTCATCATCATCATCGTCATCGTCATCGTCATCGTCATCATCATCATCATCATCATCATCATCATCATCATCATCATCA